CTGTGCAGGTGGTGGCCGCAGGCTACGGCGCTGATGATGAGGCCGTTGGCCAGGAGGGCAGCCAGGGAGATGCCCAGCAAGAGGCAGAAGTGCAGGAGCTGCAGCTGCCGCGTGTCTGCCAATGGCAGCAGGAGGAAGTGGCTGATGGAGCTGCTGTTGGACATCTCGTCACTCTGGACAATGGAACCTGCTGAAGGAGGAAAGAACAGTGACAATTTAGGGGAAACTTCTGTCAGCAAAACCAAAGCCATTTCCCACACACCTTTCCCCTGTTACACAGAAACTGTTTTGTTTTTCTAGCAGATTTTCCTTCAGCTCCAAAGCTGGAGCCCTGGTCTGTGCTGGCTGAGTGTGACATGAATTTCAGGGCAATTACTCACGGGCTTTTTATAACTCAGTCTTGCTGTGCACAAGTGGGAGGGGTACAGGGACCTGTCCTGGTGTTCCACTTTGAAACCCCTGCTAAAACAGAAGGCTCTGTCAGCACCTGCACTCCCAGTGCTGAGGAACAGGAATGGAATAGGCAGTTTAAGTGTTCTAGAGTTTTTTACAGCTTCTCTTCCATCTCCCCTGCTGATTATTTTTGGATGTCACAAACTCAGCATTTCTGTTGCCCTAAGGAAGAACAGAGTGAGCTCTGTGAGGCAGGATGATGAGTGGGGAGTGAGGGAGGGGTGTCTGTCACTCTGTCCTGTTCCAAGATCCTCTTTCCCAGAGATGATCACCCTCCAGGTTTCCCTTAAAAACCACCCCGAGAGTGCTGAGAGCAGATGGATCCACCAGAGTCCACCAAATGTTCATCACCTTCTCAAGGTCACAGCATTTCTAACCAAATACACAACATAACCAATGACACAACATTTCTGGGTTTTGTTTTCTCTCACTGCCTGATCTCTCTGCTACCTGGAGATTTTCCCCCTGGAGGTGTTACCCTGTGCCTGATCTCTCCCTGCAGCACTCACAGACCCCAAATCTCTGTGCACTGTCCCTGGCCCTACAGAAACCTGCCTGTTTGCAGGGCACTGGCTGGGGGCAGGTTCTGTTTGTGGGCTGGAGAAAGGACGGGTCAGGCTAAGCCTGATGGGTGCAGCAAAGGCAATGCTGGTGCTGTCCATGGGCAGAGGAGTGGCTGAAAGCACTTCAGGAAACTCCTGCAGAGTACTCAAGTTACAGTTCCAATACCTTAGAGACTTCTAAAAATTAAGAATTCATCTATAATTTATCTTCTCCCATTGCCTGAGAATAGGAAACTGAAAACATTCAAGAAGGTTCATCCTTATAAAAATTATTGTCTTGGAAATATTCCCGGGCTGAGCATGCCCTTCTACTCTAACACCAGAGATACTCTGAGTTATACTCACATAATCTGCAGACATTGGGATGTTCCAGCTTTAGGAGGGCACTCCAGGAGATGCAGCTGCTTTGTCCTGCAGCCAGAGGCTTCCTGTGTCAAGGGCTGGGGGTGATTCTCCCCCAGTCACTGCTCAGCATCTTCCAGCCCTGACTGATTGAACCCCTCAGTGCCTCTGTGCTGTGCCCGGGGTGGCTGCAGGCAGTGCCCTCAGCCCTGCTGGGCTGTGCACAGGAGCTGCTCATCAGCAGAAATGTCTTTTTGAAGCTTTTCTTGGTTACCAGGAGCTCCCTCTGTGCCAGGAGCCCGGCCCAGCTCAGCAGCAGCAGCACCAGGGCTTTAATGACCCTCTGGGGCTCTGGGGCTGAGTCCCTGCACATCAGTCCCTGAGAGGGAGCTGAAGAAACCTCTCAGGAATTCGAAGGCACAATCAATCCCCAAAGTTTCTTGAACTTTTAATGGGTCCCATTGAAGGACACGACTGAGAAAGTGTCCCCAGGTTCCAGTTAGAGCAGGAAATTGGAGGCAGAGATGACAGGTGGGAACAAAGAGAAGCCAAGTCTTGGTGCCCTGGGGCACAGCAGGGTCTGTGCCACCAAGGGCTGTGAGGGGACACCTTGTCCTGAGGCACTGGGGCCTCCTGRCACAGCCCCAGCAAGGCTGGCCACTGTCACCCCCTTGTCCTGCCCTCAGCATCCCCTCCCCACATCCCAGTGGGCTCNGTCCTGCCCTCAGCATCCCCTCCCCACATCCCAGTGGGCTCAGGGATCTGCTGGAAGGAGTCCCTGGGGAGCCTTGGTCAGGAATGGCCCTGGGGGGCTCCTTCAGCTCCCAGGGACTGCAGGGTTTGCAAAGGACTTTGGGTTTTGCTTTTGCCTTGGAGTCTGTGAGAGCTTTGTGCAATCCTGGCCTCCARTTATCTGCTCTAACGAGTCCCTTGAGAGGCTTTGTTCTGACACTCACTGGGGCTCATTATTTCTTTGAGATACTCAGAGTTTTTAAGGTGGTTTGGATTTTTCTTTTTGATACTGAGTCTCTGAGAGGATTTTGTGCAATCATGGCCTTCAGTTTTCTCCTCCAAGGAGTCCACGAGGAGCCTGTGTTGGTGATGGACCTCAGTGGGATTGTCACCAAAACTGCACGAAAATCTGAAACTCTCCATTAACATCTTGTCAGTGTTAGAGAATTTAGGCATTGCTTTATTCTGACCAGGATGTTGTTCTGGCCAGGATGGGCAATAGAAATCATTTTATCCACACCTGCCTGGGTTGTACAGTGAAAATTGTTCCATCACACATCATTCTTTACTGGACTTTTCACATATTTATGCCAACAAAACCCAAAGAAATTCATGTTTATTGGTCTTAAATGACACAATTTGTAGTATTCAATCTCCTACTGCTTATTACCAACACAGTATCATTAAATAGCCAGACTAAGGAGTTTTAACTAATTTGCAGATGCAGTGAGCTTAGATAGTGATAATGGCAGGAGTGGGAAAAGAGCATGAAGAATATGAGGGAAAAGTGCCCAAAGAAGATGATCCTGAGCTCCAACTGAGTCAGCCACTCTCGTGTGTACACTGAATTAATTGTGAGATCATTTGCATTCCCTGACAAGCCTTTTCTGGGTAATGTGCTGTCTTTGGTTGATTTTCTGATAACACTATATTCCTATATTTAGTCTGCTTTTATGCCCCAAACTGTGCCTTTGGCTTTAAGGCAGGCGTGGAAGAAGGGGCAGGGGGCAGCCTGGAAGGCAGGGTGCGGCGTTAAAAAGGGGGCTGCAGCTCGCTGAGGGAGCTCAGCAGGCCGGGGTGCAGGGCAGTTAGGTTGGTGCTTGTTAGGTAGCTCGGGGTTTGTTGTCAGCTTGGGCAAACAGCTTTCCCTGGACTGCGGTGGCCACCCTTCAGTGGCTCCTGAGGCTTATTCTGAAGCAGTTCGGCAGGGCTGTGGTCTCAGAACCACATTGGGTGCTGACCAGCCGGGCACCCGCGGGAAGCCGAGGAGCCGCTCGATCTCAGCCCCAAACTCCAGAGGAGCCGAGCCGGCGAGAGAAAGCACACCAAGCCCCCTGCTTCATCTACAGTGAAGAGAGGACTACCACCACAGGCACTACCAGGTTCCCACTGTTTGCCCGTGTGCTACGTGAACATTCTTTTGTTTCCTTTCCTTGGGACAAGATCCGAGCCATCTTCCTTCGCACCACGTGCTGTGCGGCTGTGGGGGGAGGCGCGGGGTGAGTTCTGGAGTTTAAATATCTAACAGTTTTAATTATTTGTCTCGTGTCCTGGGGGTACCTTGTTTTGTTAAATAAACAAATTTTTTCTTCACTTTCACCCAAACATCTGTTTTGTAGTGGTGGGAAAAAATTGCCACCCTTTTCACTTCAGAGAAAATGTTCATTCCATATTGTTTTTCTCCGAAAAATTGTCTCAAACCGAGACACCACACATAGGAGTGAGGGGTTTTAGGGTGGCAACCTGCTGTTTTGGTTGATTTGGATATTGCAAGTCCCACAACTGTTGCACGAATGGGTGGCAAGTCCTTCCTCCTCAGGGTGGTGCTGTCAGATCACCAGTACCAGCCAGTGTCCAGGAAGTCTGATCCCATGTGAGCATGGGGACATTACCCAAGCAGCGGCTTCAGTGGTAGCCGTGGGGCAGGGGAGGGGTGTTCACTGTGGTCCAGGAGCTCCACCTGTCCCCCCACTGGGGAGGATTCTTCAGTGTCTATAAATACCTTTGTGGAGGGTGTGGAGCAAAGACAGGTTTGGGCCTGGTCTTCCCTCTCCAGGAAGATGGACAGAAAGAGATCACCACATGGGTCAAACCTCGGAGGGCACTGGGGTTTACTGGGGGCAGCTGTAGGTATGGGGGGGAATATGGTGTTTCGCGCCCCTGGCCACCTCTGGAGGCTCAGGGCTCCAGCTCTTTCACCACTCTCTCTCCAAGGGCACCCGGAGCCCCACAGTTGCCCCCAAGAAGGTCTGGTCACACCACAACACCAGTCACGTCCCTTCAACCACTGCTTTGGGAATCATGTGAAACCAAGATGGATCTTTGCACATTTAATGATGCAGGAAGTGAGGGAAGGGACAAAGCAGGACATAGGCTACTGCTGATGGGCACAGGGACACAGAGAGACCCCCCCCCTTGGCAAACACTGGCATGGTAAAAGGGGTCCTGCTCTTTGGACCCCAGTTGGGGACTGCTAGAAAACAGAGTTGGTCAACTGAGCACAGGGGTAGGACATGGGGGAACACGAACTTCTTGCTGTGGCTTGGCAGGGCTGGAGGGATGCAGATGCTTGGCGTCCCTAAGGGGGCAGGGGTGGGTCCAGGTGAGACCTTCTCACCCAGGTTCAGGGAGCAAGGAAGCAGGACTTGGAGAATTCAGACACCTAAGCTGCTCCAGGAGACCATGCCTGACTTATGTGTTGCCCCTAGAGCTGGGTCAGGGATAAATATTTCCTCTGTACTTATGGGGACCAGTCACCAGCAGGGTCATTGCAAGAAGGGGGCTAATGGCTGCCTAGGGCTGGCTTTGCCTGGCCATAGGCAGGGATGTTGATCTGGCTGGTCTTGACAGCTATCCTCCAGACAGAGAGGATCTTCTCAACGGGAATGTCTGGGTCCAGGACATTGGCCAGGGTAGCCACAGAGGTGTTGGAGTCATGGTTGTCTTCCAGGAAGAACTGAAAGGCATCCTTCAGCCTGTGGGTGAGGCAGAGCAGAGGGGTGAGTAGGTGGAGCTAGGATGGATGTCCCACCATCCCCAGCAGCAAGTGATGGTCAGCATTGGCTGTCAGCATAAACACTGTCCTGGCCAAGGTTGCTGTTCAGTGGTGGCCTTTAGTGGTGACCAAGGCTACTTGGTGGTGGTACAAGGTTACTGCTCAGTAGTGGCCAAGGTTGCTGGTTAATGATGGCCAATGCCTCATGCCAGTGGCTGCCCTGGGGTGTCTCCAGTGACATCAAGAGCCAGTGAGGCAGACTGTGGTTGGGCATAAGAAAAACCTCTACCCATTGGAGTGATGCCCCCAAGACAAGCATCTCCTGGGATGGAGGTCCAGCAACAGACATCAAGATGAGGCCCTGAGGAATCTGTCTGGAGCAGGACCTGGACCAGACACCTTCAGACCTTTGCTCAACAAAATCCATGACCTGGACTTACTTGTGTTCAGGTTGAAATCCAGACAGTGCCACTGTGATCATCTCATGTAGCTCAATGAGGAAGAGATCGAGGTTCGTGTTGGCCAAGGCACAATAAAGGGCTTCTTCCTCTTCTGTGTCCAGCTGTCCTTGGAACTCCTGGGGTACCAGGCAGAAGGGATCCTACAAAGGCCACTAGCTTCAGCAACAGGGAGACCCCAGCATAGCCCACCCAGGTGCATCTGGAAGTGACATCTAATGGAGGAAGGAGAATCACCACCCTCTAATGCCCTTGAACCTGGTCTTAGGGACACCAGAGAGCTTCCAAGACAGGAGCCAGTCTAGAAAATACCCGAGGAAGTGGATTGTCTCCAGGATGGACCAGAGACTTGGATTTCATCCAGGACTGTAAAAAATGGCTCCTGGCTGCAGCAAGGCTTCTTTCGTCCAGGAAGCAAACCCCATCTCCTCCCCCAAACTCATTTCCCTCACCTGGTTCATCTGTACCAATAGCATTGACTTGCGAGCTGCCAGGACCTGCCACAGTGACAGGATGTGCTTCAGCTGGGTGTTGGGTACCACCTGAAGACAGAGAGACACAAATGGTCAGCTCCCTGAAAATGTGCCACCTGCACTCAACTCCAGCATGTCCTGGTGGAAGACACATTGGGCCACCGACATCCCCCAATGTCTGCACTGCAACTGCCAGTTCAAGCATCCAGGTGGGCCCAGTTGGCTCCCACATCACTGGTGTCCCATATGGAGATGTCCTGCCTGCCTGCAGACCGAGGTGGAAACCATGGGAAATGCAAAGCCCTGCCAAGAGGAGCAGAGGAAAGGGCACAAAGGTCCCACTTCCCACCCACTCTTTGCCCCTTACCCACCGGCACATCCTGGAACTGCTTTGCGCCAGCGTCCATTTTCAGCTCCTGCAGGACATACTTGGACAGCGAGTGCTCTGGGTCACCTCCTGTCACTGCCAGGAACTCTGCAGCCACCCTCAGGGTGGCCAAGGCCTTGGAGAGGGAGTTGACTGACCGGGTCTCCTCCATGATGCGCTTCTGCTGGTTGATGCTGAGTGGCTCCTGGCACCAAGAACAGCAAGATACTGTCCCAGCCTCTTGGTTGCCCAGTGCAGGAGAACTGCCTCCTGCCAGGTCTCCAACACCTGCCAGAGCTGGCCTTGGGTTTCTCCCACACATCTGCCCTGTCCATCTGCCCCCATGCTGTCACAGGACTCGAGGGGATGCCTCAGGGTTGGATGGAGGGGAAGACCGCTGACCAATGGGGTCCTACCTGGGTCAGTTGGTCCCTGATTTTCTTCTTGGTGGCCTGGAGGGTCCTTGTGTTGTTGAGGACAATGGATGGAGCTGTCTGGAAGGGTTTGTGAGAAGTGGTTATGAACATGCTTTGGTGCCACTGATTTGGGCCAGCAGGAAAGCTCAGCTGTGCAAATCTGGGTCCATGTGATTTCCCTGAGGTAGTGGATGGACTCTTGAGGCCACTTTGGGGATTGTGGAGATCAGGGGATGTCCCTGATGGCACCTCCATGGAGGAGGATCTGGGGAGCTCACAACCTCACCATCTCCCAGGTGAGAAAGTGCTCTTGGGAGCTATTTCCAAGGACCAGAAGGGTCCTGGGAAGAGCCAGCATGGACTGATCACCTTTGGGAGAGGACACACACCCCAGCTGCTGCAGGATAGCCTGATTCTAGTGTCTTCAACTCCCCTTTTCCCAAAAGCTCCAGGCTTCATTTTCATGGAACAGAGATGAACGTCCTCAGACAGACATGTTCCTCCAATGGTGTTCAGAATCCACTTTGGATCAAATATAACTCTGGAATATCCCTCCTGAACTTCTCTGAGCAGCTCCCAACTCCTCCCTCCTTCTCAAAGAAACCAAGTTGTCTTCCCCTTCCCAATGGACAGGGCTATGAGTCCCCTGAAGCTTTCCAGGCCACAATTTCCTGACCATGGAAGTGGTTTCTGGCCATGGCACTCTTTAGAAACTTGAAGAACAGAGTAAGATGAACAGCAGGCATCTGTCAAGGCCTTCGGTTGAGCCTGTTGATTCCAGAAAAGCCCAAAGAGGATGGAAACACACGCCAACCCCACTGCTGGCCTAAGACATCCCACGGTGGCCTGGCACTGAGCTCACCTGAGCCTTGATGATGGGCTTCCCACTGATGAAGCGATGCACCACTTGCCGCTGCAGCATCTCAAAGTCAAAGTACGTTGTCTGGGTGCCATTCTCATCTATCTCATACTGCAGGTTGGTGAGGGCCATGGTCTCCAGATCACTCATGGTTACAGCCAGCACCGAGGAGGGCTTCACCTCTTCTGCAGAGATGGACCTGGGAGAGGAACAATGGCCCTGTGTGGCTGCAGAGCCTCTCAGTTGGTCTTACTCTGCCTTCAAGGATCTGCTTTGCCGCACACCAAGCTACCAGGACCTTGCAGCAGCATCATTTGGCCACTGCAGCTCCACCACAAGCTCCACACCAGCCCCGGGAACCTCCCACATCACTGTTATGGCAGGCAGAGGAGATGGACAGCCCAGGGGATGAGACCCACCGCTGTCTCTCCCTAGTGACCCGTGCAGCTGTGTCGATGCAGCCATTATGCAGCTGGATAAGGAATCTAGTCACCAGGTAGCTGATGGATTTTTGGATGGGGAGGAGGTGTCGGACAGCAGTGTTGGTGTTGATGTCATCTGGCGAGAGGTCCATCAGGACTGTCATGCCTGAAAAAGGGTGGAATAGTCTACCTGCTGTAGGGATCCCAGGGGAAATGTTTCCTTTCACTGAGATCTTGAAAGGGTTTTATATTCGGTTTTGTATTTTCAGGAGGGTTTTTTTATTTGTTTTTGGCAGTGAAGAGTGAGCAAGCTCTGCAATTTTATTAGAAACGGTAGGCGCAGGAAGAGGCTCAGCTTTGGAACAGAGGAAATGGCCGAGGAAAGAGGGACATGACATCCTGGGGTGACCACGTACCTGAGCTTAATGGGTTCATCTTAATATTGCTCCAAACCTTTCGGATCGTCTCTATAGCTCTGCTGAAAGCTGAGCGCTGGCTTTCTGTGGGCAGAGAGAGAAGAGAGAAGAGAGAAGAGAGAAGAGAGAAGAGAGAAGAGAGAAGA